CTGAAAGTGATGACATAGAAGGAACAGAAAGATAGAGCAGCTCAGAGTTCCTTTTCCTTTCAGACTTTACTTATCATTCAGCCAAAGGTTGCATATTGGTCAAATGTGCACATGTCAAGAAGTGAAATCAAAATGTTGGGTTAGTTTCATGAGTCATGTCCACTGCTATATGAGGACAAAATACACAAGCAGGTATGAACTATGGGACACAAATAATTTTAAGGATTTTGCAAATGTGTCAAATGCATTTATATGTGCTTTTAAAACTGGCGTCACATAACAAAGATGAACAGTGAAGTTCATGATAGTAATTAAAAATTTGTCTTCATTTAAAATGACATTAAATAGCAAACAGCATGACATGTCAAGTGAGAGACTGGGGGTAAAAAGGCCCAATATTCTAGCATCTTCTACTCAATGTTTGTTTGCTTTTTGAACAAAGGCTCTGCTTTTTCATTTTGCACCAGGCTCAAATCCACAAATTGTGTAGTCAACTCTAAATGATACACACACACACACACACACACACACACACACACACACACACACACACACACACCCCACACCTTGCTCTTAAGGTAGAAGAGTAAGACTGTAATAACAGTATCTCCCATTCAGAAGAGGTCAAAGTATTATTGAAAGTCCTGAAGGAGATTGAAAAACACAATTCACCATAGTCCCTGCTCTTGTCAGCAAAACCTCTGAGCCTCTTGCTGCAGAGCCTGAGAATGCAAGTAGCCTATGTGGTCACATTGAATTTTAACACTAGCTGGTCCTCACAACAAAAAGTTTGAAATCACTCACTCAAGCACCTCGATATTTTGGAAGGACGTTGTGGTTTTTTTTTTTTATTATAAAATATTTAGTACAGTAAATTATTTTATTTTATTTTATATATTTTTACATCATTTTTCATTTTTGCACAATGTAGGCAGTTTCATCTTGGTTATAGTCCCCATACAATTCCCACCCCCTTGTTTTGATCCTACTCCCTCCACCCCCCACCCCCAGTAGTGTGTCTCTGGTTTATAGTTGCTGTTGATTTTGATTTTTACTTTATTAGAATTAGGTTTTTTCCTGGTCCCTTATTTAGGTTTTCTAGATTCCTGCTATGAGTGAGACCATCTGGTATTTTTCTTTTTCTTTCTGGCTTATTTCGCTGAGCATGATCCCTTCCAGCTCCATCCCTGTTGCTGCAAATTGATGAGTTTATCTTTTTTGATTACTGAGTCATATTCCATTGTGTATATGTACCACATCTTCTTGATCAGTCATCTATTTTGGGGCATTTGGGTTGTTTCCATAGCTTACCTATGGTAAATAGTGCTGCTATAAACATACGCGTGCAGGTGCCCTTTTGAATGAATGTTTCTGTGTCCTTTGGGTAAATACCTAGGAGTGGAATTGCTGGATCCTATGGAAGCTCTATGTTTAGTAGGTCCAGAAATCTCCACACAGCTCTCCACAGTGGTTGGACCAGTTTGCACTCCCGCCAACAGTGCAGGAGAGTTCCCTTTTCTCCACATCCTCGCCAACATTTGTTGTTGCTAGTCTGTTTAATATGTGCCATTCTCACTGGTGTGAGATGGTATCTCATGGTAGTTTTGATTCACATTTCCCTGATTACAAGTGATGCTGAACATTTTTCCATATGCCTGTTGGCCATTTTTGCATTTCCTCTTTGGAGAAATTTTTATAGAGACCATGTTTACATACGTGCATTTTGCAAACAATCTTGTGACTGGGAAGCTTAGGTAATCATTAAGAACATAGTTAGAAGACTCACACCACCAGATTTCAGTCAGTCTCCACCTCTCCGCCCAGGTGCCCACCCTTCACTTCCTGTCTGTGGACTGGGCACCTCGGGCTGGGGGCATCATCACAGCATTTGGTTTTTCGTGTCTGACTTCTGTAACTGAACATCGTGCCTTCAAGTTCCATCTATGTCACTGCTACGTCAGAATTCCCTTCTCATTTAAAGGTGACATATATGCCATGTAAGGATGTACCATGTTTAGTTTATCCACTCACCTGTCTCTTCTGTCTTTTGACTTTTAGCACACACCTGCCTTCTAGAAGACTGTGGTGTGCAGGGAGAAACTGAGGTAGTTTTCCCCAAGGTGGCTGGACCTGCCCTGCCCAGGCTTTCTACTGGGTGCCTGAGAAGGAGAAAGAAACCTCTCCAAGCAGTGGTGTCACTAAGACGCAGGGCAGCAGTGGGCGTTCTCTAAGGGCTTGCAGGCTGCAAGGAAAGGAACTGCAAAATAGAAAATGCAGCACTGAGTGAAGGAAAGAAAACGTGCTCTGGGCAGGTGGGAAGCAAGTTCAGCTCATTACCGGTCCTCAGGTCTGCCTGATTTCAAGGTGAAGCATGTGAGTAAATGGTGATCAAAGTTTTCTGGGCAGGGTGGTATTTTGGCTGTTGAGCTCCCGAAGCTGGGGGTCCTGGACCTCTGTCAACGCATTCCTGTTCTAGGACAGCAGCAGAAGCGGCCCCTGGGGACTGGCAAGTGCAGATTCTTGGGTTCACCCCAAATCAGGGTGCAGCCGACTCTTTGTAGCAGGTGGGCAAATGCTATTTCTTCCCTGCATTTATTTACTCCATCCAGCCATGATTTATCGTCTCCAAGGGCAAACCAATAGGCATTGGCAAACAGTGATAAGCAATAGAGAAGCAGCCCTACACTCACAGGCTCACGCTTTTTGATATCTCTTAAGGAGGGCAAAATAGGCAAGGGACTCCAGCCAGATGGAGAAATATAAATGAAGAGCAAAGGTTGCAGGAGGCAGAAGAGGGGGGCTCTGCTGACTCGGACAAGGTCAGCTGATCCCTAGAATCCACTGGGATTCACAGCATGGTCTAGACTGGGGGGAAGGCATGTCTCACTCAATGTTCCTTGGTGTGTGGTGTACACAGGGGAGCTTCCCACTCTCTGTCTCAAGAGAAAGTAAAACTGTGTCAGTCTCTACTTAGCTCTCCTTTCTCCTTGGCCCTCCATGTGCTGGTTTCCTGAGGCTGCCATAACAAATTACCCCAAATTTCATAACTTAGAATAACACAAATGTATTCCCTCACAATTTTGGAGCCCAGAATTGGGGATCACAGCATTGACAAACACTGTCTTTAGAGGGGAGCATCCCTCCTTGCCTCATCCAGCTTCTGGAAGCTCCAGTCATGCCTTGGCTTATGGCCACATCATCCCCATCTCTGTTCCTGTCTTCCCATCACCTCCCCCTTGGTCTTCTCTCCTTTTCTTCTTTTATAACAGCTGTAGTCCTGGCACTTCCCTTGCAACCCTAGTAAGTGGCAGTGGAGAAGGGGCTGAAATCCAGTCTGTCTGATGCCAGACTCTCCCCTTGACCTCATACCCTGGGCTTTGACCACATGGTTTCACTGTCACTCATTTTAGAAATGGAGTGGCTGATGGACAAGCACAAGTGGTGTGTAAGGGTAAGTCTTATTCCAGCACTAAAAAGGCTGAGACATCCTAAGAGCTCTTCTTGCTGTCTTTTACTTCTTTTACTCTCTAGGTATCTGCCAATCCCAGAGAAAGACACAAATAGATTAAGACCCACAAACTGGACTCATGAAAGTCCTGTTAGCAGTAGCTGCCATTTAGCCATTATGGAAAGTGATCTGGATTTACCTTGAGAAACTAAAAATGGAAATACTGTATGACCCAGCAATCCCACACCTGGATATCTATTCAAAGAACATGAAGCCATCAACTCAAAAAACTATTGCTCTAAATGTTTATTGCAGCACTATTTATAAGAACCAGGACATGGAGACAACTTAAGTGTCCACTGATGAAGGATTGGCCAAGAAGATGTGGTTTAATTCTCCACACCATGGAATATTATACAACCATGAAGAGATATTGCCACTTACAGCAAAATGGAAGGAGTTAGAGATGTGCAGTAAAGCAAGTCAGACTCACAAAGACAAATATTGGGGCCTTCCTCCTGGCGCAAGGGGTTAAACACCGCACTGTGAAGCAATCTGCAGCACGAATATGATCCCTGGCCAGGGAGCTACCCACATGGCACAGCAGACCTCTCTCGACTCGGCCGCTGCTCCCCTCGGCAGTGTATTTCATCAGTCTGCCTGTTCTGCTCCCCACTCTGTCTCTGCTGAATCCTCTCACCCACCCCCCTCCCCGCATCTCTGGCCTGTACCCCAGCTGGGGATCGAACTCCTGCTGCAGAGGCTGCCAATAGCTTCCTAGTGCTGTGCTTAACCACTTGCACCTCCAGGGAGGCCCCTGTTTCGTCATTCTTTTTTTTTAATTATTTTTAAAAATTTTTAATATAATTCATACATCATTTTTCTTTTTTGCACAATGTGTGCATTTTCATTTTGGTTATATTCCGTCGTTCTTAAAGGAATGCAGCCTCCTCCAGCCAGCCTCCCTCCAGCCCAGGCGAAGCCCTGCGCACGTGCACGGGACAGTGACCGTGTTCACCCACCTCGCCTGCCCCCCGCACCTGGGCTTCCCCCGCACGCTGCTCTACCATTGGGGTCCCCGACCCACAGCACCAACATCCCCTCACACCTTGCTAGAAATGCATATTCTCAGGGCCCAGTCCCGACCTCTTGAGTCAGCAAATGGAAAGTGTATCTGGGGAGCCTGCCTGGGAACCAGCCCTCCCGGCGGCTCACGTCGGGGCGTCCCTGGCCGGGTCTCTGGCTGCTGCTGCCCCCGCGGCCCTGCCTCTGGGGCCCCCCACCCCCACCCCCGCCACGGGCCCGGGGCGGAGCGGCGGAGTCCGGGTGCTGGCCGCGACCCGCGTCCCCTTGGTGGGGCCCAAGGAGCACTAACCTCTGCCCCCGGCTGTTCCACCTCCTCCAAGGGTGGAGCCGCCGCCCCGCCTGCAGAGCCGGATCTCGCAGGTGGCTGGGCAGGGCCTGGAAACAAAGTCAGGAGCAACACCTGAAAGAAAAGGTCCTCCCGCCTGGCCTCGGCGCGGCAGTCGCAGGCAGCCCCTGGAGCCGCCACCATGGGTAGGTCCGCGCGCCGGGCGGGCGGGGCGCGGGGAGCTGCGGGCGCCGGCGCCGCTGGGTCAGGGCGGTGCCGAGGGGACCCCCCACCCCGCGGGGGCCGCGGATCCGCCGCAGGGCCGGGAGGGCTGGCGGCGCGGGCTGGCGCGGGGAGGGCACCTGCCGCGGCCGCGAGGGCGCGCAAGGCAGGGACACTTGGCCACGGCGAGACGCGGATCGTGGGCTCCGGGGAAGTCGAGGGGCGGGAGGTCTCTGCACGCCCCGGGTACCCGGGCGCAGCACCCCGAGGAGCCCAGATTCCAGGCTTCCAGGAACCGTGATCTGTCCACCTGTTGGGAATCCGCGAGGTCCTGCTGGTCCACGCGGCGAGCAGGGAGTGCCTGGAAGCCGGACTGTGTGGTGCGGGTGATGGCAGAGCCCGCGCACCCTCCAGCAGAACCCCGTGGGCGCTCAGTGGCCGCTGGCCAGGGGACCGTGGAGCTCCTGATGGAGCCCTGCCTGGGCCGAGAGCAACTGAGGCCAGCCTTAGTGGCCCTGCTCACGGCCACCGTCCCCAAGCTTCAAGGAAGGCACAGGGGAGTAGAGCAGCCCGGGTCCCACAGCGCCGAGTGTCAGGGCATCCAGGAATCAACCCGGATCCTGAAACAGTCGAGTTCAGCTGTTTGGGATCCTGCCTCTTTGCCATTAGAAACAGCAGCAGCGGCCTCAGAGGGGATGGCATGCGCTTTCCAGAAACTGCTCCTGGCTGCTGTCAGTTGTACCCAGCGGACTTCAGCTGGGCAGGCAGCCCCCCTGCTGGGCTGCCAGCACACCCTCGGTGTGTCACTCCTGGAGCTCTTCTGGTAGGTGCTCGGAGGACTTACTTGCATTTTCAGAGTCTAGCTTTGAAGTGTGGTGGGATTGAATGGACTAGTCAGCAACGGTGCTCCTTAGGGTTGGTTTTCTTGTTGTTGCTTGTTTGCTCTGAGGTTGGGATCACACGTGAGTAGCAATGAAAATTTTTATGGTTTACTCCACTTCTAAAGGTTCGCTATCTAGGTGTAGATTCTTTCTAGCCAAAGAAAACAATTAGGAAACGTTTTCAAAATAAAAGATAGCGAGTCCCTGCCCCTCTGCAGACAGACCTTTGGAATGCTCGGGTCATGCTGGGAGCTGACTTCACCAGGGGTAATGAAGCAGTTTGCACACTCAGCTCTTTCACGCCCTGAGATGGAGGGGCAGAGTTTAGGGCTGGCACGGAAAGTGTGGGGTGCATGAGAGTCTGGACTGGGCCACTCAAGCCTTCGTTAGATTGAGTAACAAGGACCCACAAAATGAACTGGATAAGAAGTTGAATGGGGTACGCAGTGTGTAGTAGCTACACCCTGGCCGGGACCTGGAGGGCATCCTGAATTGCAAGCTCTTTGCTTTCAAGAGAGATTGGCAAACCTTTCTGGTAAAGGGCCAGACATCTTTTCAACTTTGGAGACCATGCAGTCAGTCTCTGTGGCAACTATTCAACTCTGACCTTGTCCTTTGAAATATGTAAACATAAGTGGGCTGAACTGTGTCCCATAAAACTTTATTCCTGGGCAGGGTAATGAGAATTTCATCTCATTGTCTTGTATCACAAGATAGTCTTTAAAAATTGCTTTTTCCATCATTTGAAAGTTGAAAGCCTCTACTTTGCTGCACAGTTGCACAAAAATGGGCAGTGGGCTGGATTTGGCCCAAGAGCTGTGGTCGGTTGACCCTTGCTTTAAAGGACAGGTGATTTTCCACAGCCAGGCAGTAGGGAAAGTGCTTTCCCTAAGGCCTCTGTGGAGTCAGGGGCCCGGGGGGCTGTGGACCTCTCAAGAGGTGAGGAGACCCTCAGTGACCAGAGATTTTGTAGGGGTGGGGACATTTTTGCTGAAGATTTGTAATATTTAGACTCTCTCCTTGCCACCATCCCTCCTTTACCCAGAACTTAGCAAGAATTTAGGCTACCTGCTGCTCTGACAAATCACTTCCCATATTTTAGTTCTGAAAAACCATAGGCCCTTCTCCGTGACTCATCCCATATTTAGTCTCAAAATTAAGTATGAAGAGGCTGCAAGTTCTCCAGAAGCCAGCTTCTGCCTCCTCTGCCAAGGCGTCCAGGCTGATTTGAGAAATTCATTCACTTAATGATTGGTTGATTTATTCAACCCCATCTCCTCAAGCCTCTGGTAGATGATTCTAGTGAGTTTTTCCTGGTTGGCATCTGGCCTGAACATAAAAGATGGACAGTCTTGCCTCAACCCTTGCCATTTGAAGGCCCTTCTATCTCCTTTCCTCCTCCTGGAGAACAATGCTGAAATTCCAGGGAAGCTGGTATTCTTGCCTCAGGCTGTGGGTGTCAAGGTAAAGTCCCTCCACACTTGGGTGCCTGGAGCCTCAGACCGCAAAACAGAACTGAAGTTTAAAAAGTGGTTTTCAAGCTTCAACACATCAGGCTCTTTCTCCCAGCTGCGGGGCCTGGGCCTGGTGGCTGCTTCAGGAGCTTGGGGCAGGCCTGGAGGATTTGCATCGACACGTGGTCTCAGGTGCCGCTGACTGCTGTCCCGGGACAGCACTTTGAGAACCACCGGTCTACACGACAGGCTCGCTCGTACTGGTCACCGTGGCCAGTGGCCTCCTCTGCCCCCAAGTGAGACCACAGAAGGAAGGTCTAGTGCCTGCCTTGTCCACACCTTGGGTAAATGAGTGGCTAGAACTTGAAAATCACTTTGCAAGGCTGTCTTCCAGCAGGGGTGCTGAGTGGCTATGGTCTGGCTGAGATGCGCCTCCAGCACTTTCTATGCGGATGTTTATTTACCACGCATGGGGATAACTTAGGCCTGCCTGGAAGAAGCAACTCATATCCCAGGGGGCAGGACCCTAAGCCCAGAAACAACTTTTCCCACCAGTGAAAGCAGCAGCTAAGGGCGCCTCACTAGAGTGGGAGGGTTTGCCTTTGTCAGGCAGTTTCTGCTGCATGGTGCCGAGTGGACTTATGCAATTTATTGGGATTTTTAAAAAGATATTAATTTATTTCTTACATCATTGCTCATTTTTGGACAGTGTCTGATTGCTCCCCTCAGGAGTTCCCCTGTAGTTCTCGCACCCCATAGCACCCCGGGTCTGTCTCTGTCTTATTGGGATTTTTTGAATAATGATTTCCTGCCGCCTTTTGGGTCTCTAAGGACTAGAGAGCAGATTGGAGCTTGGCAGTTGGCTAGTGGAGCTCCCTGGAAAGTGCCGGAGCAGGAGGGACCACATTCTGCTCACTAGGGTGGGGCACCGAAGGGCCAGGGTGGGACCACTCAGAGCGGGGTGCCCAGTCAGCTGTGTCACACCTCCCCAGGCGGCCGCAGCCGCTGGACACAATTGCATCTTGATTCTGTCCAGCCCTGGCAGGAGAGAAAGTGGGTAGGTGTCCCAGGTGAGTTGATAAGGAAGTAAAAACAAGGGCGGAATCCGTGGAACAGTCTGAGCTGTTCCTCTGCTGATGGCGAAAGAATGAGACCAGTGTTATCTGGAGATGAATGGGAACCTTTGACTCAGGTGCTGAGGTTGCAACATGGAGACGCAGGGAATGGCTGTGCTGTGACTTCAGAGGCTGGAGCCGAGGAGATGGGGGCAGGTGGACTCCTGGGTCGGACCGAGCGTGTCTGAGGCGTTTCTCCGGTCGCCGTCGCGCTTGTGGGTGGTCACGATTCAGGCCCAGTGCAGCTACAGGACACACTCCCAGGGAAGGAGGAAGGCCCAGTTCCTCCAGGAGTGGAAACCAGTGAGGGCGGCCTGGGGCTACTGAAAGAGGGCTGCCAGCCCGCCAGATAGGGCTTGGAGATACGCCTGTGCCCGAAGGGAAATTTGGCTCAAGGATCGGACTTAGACTGGACATTTCACAAAAGACCATTGCATGTTCTCCAGCTGAGCCTCCACAACTTCCACAAGCTGCATCAAAAGGCACTATTTTATTGCCAGCCCTTGTCAGGCCCTCAGGATGTACGTTTGAGGTGTTCTTGGAGGAACAAAGCTTTGCCCATGGAGTCAAAACACAAGCTCCCCGGCAGATTCATTTCCTGTCTCACCGACTGGGTCCTTTAAAGTACCAGGAATGTTCACTCCCATGGAAACACAGTCAAGGAGATGGCGGGGCCACGCTCTCTGGAGGCGGTTGGGGACGACATGCTCCTTGCTTTCCTTGTAGCCTTGTGTGACCGGCTGCCCTCGCATGCCTGAGACACCTCACCCTGGTCTCTGCCTCCATCAGCCTGTGGCCTCTTGTCCCTGTTTCTACTCATCTTCCCTCCTGTATCTGTCTTGACATGGCTGCCCTCTCAGGCTCTTTCTTCTCAGTAAGAGTGCTCGTCATGTCGGGTTGAGGAACCACCTGCTCCAGTCACCCTGGATCTTAATGCATTACATCCGTGCCAACCCTATTTCCAAAGGAGGTCTTCTGAGACTCTGGGAAGGATGTGAGTGTAGGGGTGGGGGGTCGTATTCAACCCAGTACACACGGGAGGAGAAAATGTTCTCTCTGAAATAGGCACAGCTGTTACCCGAAAGTCTAGTAGAAGATACACTTAGTGTATATAGATGACACTGGTGGCCACCTCCTCCACTGAGGTGCTATGCTGGAGACTAGCTTCTTCCTCACAGATGGGTTTTCTAGTCATCGTTCCAAATAGGGATCCCTGCAAAGCAGACTGGGTGGGTAGAATAATATTAGGTAATATCGGAGGCACAGGCGATTTACCTCAAGTTAATCCCAAAATTATGCCCGCACTCTGTTGATACTCTGCTAAGGCTGTCCAGAGAGTTTCCAGGTGACCTTAAACTCTTTAATAGTATTTCAACTTTTATTTCCTTTTTTATAGCTGTTTTCTACACTGTGTGTTCATTCTAAAATGACAAGACTAAAAATAAATAAGTCACCTAACATTTCTATAGAGAGTTGTTAGGTAATATCAAACAAAATTTAAAATACACATAATGCTTTTCCAGCATTCTCCTTC